AACCGCCCTGAACAAATTCCAGAGCAAGCTGCTAGAGGGCCCAACTCACGTGACTTCTTTCTGAGTACAAGAGCTACCTACCATCCAAAAATTCATGACCCTAGCATTCCAGATCGCGATATATCAAAACGGAATTTCTGCTGCAGTTCTAAGGGAAGCCACTAGGGGGCCCAAAATCTAATAATTTCCAGTCTTCATCACACCCTACCAACGCATCAAGTATGAAACTAATCTATCCAGCCGTTCTTGAGTTATCTTGTTGACCAACAGACAGAATGACAGACAAACGCAACTGAAAATATAACCTCCATGACATTTCATGGAGGTAATTATTACATGTTTATACTATATAGAGTATGAAACTGAGTCGTAGTTTCTGAAGCCAACCATATAATGTCTGAATCTGTGTAAAATGTCCCATTCAGGCCCGACGGCGTCCTGTGCGACTAACCAGTTCCCGTGCACCACCGGTGCGCAGTGCATCCCTCACCTCAGCCGCTGTGACGGCGTCAAGGACTGTCGGGACGGCTCGGACGAGGTCGCCTGCCCGCAACGTACGTCATCAGCCTTGACCCCATGTCACACATAGCCGAATATGGCCACCCGAACACTGCAGCTGACGATCTCCCCTAACTAATGTTTGGGAGTACGTAGGACAAGGTCGCCAACTGTTCGGCTGCGCGAGCCGAATGTTTCAACATTCGGGTGTGGACGGGAGGTTGGGGGCCTAAATCTGAATCTGGTCAGACGGCTTCCAAACTTCAGCCAATCGTGGCTGGTTGGTGGTCGGGTTCTAAATGTATGACAGGGGCTTTATAAATCATATGCGCTTGTCCTAAACGAATTGCACGTTAAAAAAATCAGTTTTTTTAAAAAGTTTTTTCTTAGGTTCTTTTGCGAACCTTCTGCATATTCAAGATTTTGTACAAATGCTTCTGGTACTAAGTAGTCAGAAGGGCTGATAAAATGGACGGTAGTACGATACTGCATGCACTCTCTCCATCCAATTGCAAGGGGCAATAATTTTGTTGAAATCGCCCACAGCAAATCCCTGCAGTTACAATGCATTCCGCTGTCGGTCCGGCGCTTGCATCCCGAAGCTGAAACTGTGCAACGGCGTGCGGGACTGCAACGACGGCTCCGATGAAGCATCGCCACCTTGCGGTAAGAAGCCGAATAGCACAGTCACGACTTCTAATGCAGGATCTAACTTTGCGATTCAAAGTGTCGTCGTTTTATTACTCCGTGAAGGAGGTCAGGACCTCCGGACGGAGTGTTGTGATCGGCTGATTTTTCATGTTCGCAGTCAAAACACTGGGTTCTCTTTGTGTAATCGGCACGCAATTTTATACGCCGTCTGCGGGCATGCCCGTGTTGATGCACGAATGTGTATTTTTGCCGTTGCTGCTTTCGCGGTCAATGTAATATTGCAGACGCACCCCTACAATTACGAGGCGAATTGGAATGGTCCAGAAAAACGCGTTGTGTGGAACTTCATGCAGATACGGGGTGGTTTTGATAAGTGGTTCCAGATGTTTTTGCCCATGGTTAAGAGATGCCAAGTTTTTTGGAAGATGGTTGCAGCCAAAACGCATTCTTACGTACGTCGCATTTTTGTGTAATTTCGCATGTGGTGTGGCATTATGTCCGGGATTTGGCACGTCTTTTTATTTTTACCGTAGCTGTTTTGATATTGGAGTAAATGGTTATTTTCGAAACATCCCCATGTCGTTGAAATGTTGTCGTCCGTTTATGTCACCGGTAGTAAGTCGCGGCGGGGCTGATGGGGACGGATATGTGGGTTGGTCAGAGGTCAACATTAGGAAATGTTAATACCGATGACGTAATCCTATCGATTTCAAACTGGTCGGGTGTGGCGACCTAGTGGCGGCGTGTATTTAGTCACGTAGCAACTGGCCGGTCGTCCTAGCAACGACACATGGCCAATATTTTTGGGTTGGGCCGCTCCATAGTGTTAGTGGAGCAGCTCTTTGTAAACATGGACAATATTTTTGAGTCAACCCATCAATGTGTTCTGCCTCGTGGTCGGATGTGGTCTGGGGCTGGTAAACCGCACATACAGTACTAGTAGATCGGGT